GGGAGTGAGCGAGGGGACTGGACAGTTAGAGGACCGCTCCTTCCCAGGGATGCGATTTTACGGTCGGAGGCTATAGAGGCAGCCCCGGAATCAAGGTGTGTGCGGGTGTGCGCGCTTCGGAAGCCTGGGGGAGGCACGCGGAGGAGAGGGGTCTTCCATTCTTTTTCCCGCTCCAGGCCTCAATTTACCCATCCGTAAAGCGAAAGGGGCAGACAGCATATAAGGCCTCTTCCAGATCTGACGCTCTTTAATTTCCTATCCCACCTGGAGCAACCCTTCCGTGCCGCAAACCTGCTTCAACTTACCTCCCGCCTGCTCAGCTAAGAGTTCCTAGGCCGCCGCGGTAGACCGCGCTTCCGCCCCACGCCAAGGAAACGTCTGCGCCCGCCGCCAGGAAGGACCCCGGAGACGCCGCGGTCGCCTTTCTGCCCGGGAGGACAACCCTCTGCCTGAGGACCAGTTTCGAGGTATGCCCGCCGCGCAGACAGGAACCGGCATGGCGGAGCAGCGAGTCCCCAAGAGGAGTATCCTAAGACGTGGGCTGCTCTAAAAAGGGTGAGACCTGCGGACACACGAATCTGATCAGGCGCCTCCGGGCCACCCGGAAAGGGGGGGGGCCTTCAGGCAGATCACGTGGTGGGGGCTGTTAGAGCAGTTGCTGGGCAACCACAGCTGCGGGGCGTGGTCTGTGCTGGGCTGCCCTCCTGTTCTGGCTTATCAAGGGATCCCCAAAGAAAGCAAGGGGACCAAGGCCGGGGCTGTTGGGGTGAAGGTCCGGGAGGCTCCGTAAGGGGGCGGAAGGGTTAGTTTTACTTATTAAATGTCTGGGGAGGGCTGAGAACTGGACGCCTGAGTTCGGTTACTGACCAGCCCCGCCCCTTCTTGGCGTTCAGATTCCCCACTTTGGGGTAGGGTGGCTATGGGTTTAGTTGAGGACCTCCTGCTTCCTTGCGCTAAGGCTGTTCGTGATGACTCTGCCACAAAATCTAGCTCAACTCACCAGGAATCTGCAGTTCAGAGAGGTCCCACAAGTAAATGTCAGAGCCCTGACTAGAAGCCACGTAGAGAATCTCTCTGCAGGCCGGACGCAGTGGCTCACGCCTGTAATTCCAGCACTTTGGGAGGCCGAAGCGTGCAGATCACTTGAGGTCAGGAGTTCGAGACCAGCCTGGGCAACATGGTGAAACCCCGTCTCTACTAAAAATACAAAAATTGGCTGGGCGTGGTGGCGCATGCGTGTAGTCCCAGCTAGTCGGGAGGCTGAAGCACGAAAATTGCTTGAACCCGGGAAGCAGAGGTTGCAGTGAGCCGAGATCGTGCCACTGCACTTTATCCTGCGCAACACAGCGAGCCCTGGGCTGGACAGAGGGATTTGGGGATTGGATCATTGAGCTCCTTCCTCTGCCCCTTCTACTTGATTTCCTGCTCAGTCATTGCATTTGGTTTGGGTGAAAGTCTCCTTCCCCATTAAAGAGATTTAATGAGAATGAAACGTTATCTTCAGCTCCAGGGTAACTAACAAGAGTTCTGCTTTTGTGTGAGGTCCCCTGTCTAAACGACTTGCTGCAGAACAAGCCTATGTGGAAGAGTGAAGGAACTGAATCCTGAGATCCAAATGCCTCCTCCGCTGAAGCACCAAAATTAAAAGTATTTTTAGAGGCAGAGAGCAAAATCAAGACAGAGCTCCAAATTCAGTCAGGACTCTATTCTGTTTTAAGGGGCAAGTCTTGTGTAAGTCCTCACTGTGAAATTCAGCTTGTCTTTGTGAAGTAGAAAACCAGAGTTTTGTAACACCTCCCAATTTGAGTGACATGATGTCCAGAGTGCTTTGAGGTCATTTTGTGTTCTGGCGAATAATCCAGAGACACCCTCTTTCCCCCGATATTGACCCTCCACTGACGTGCATTTCTTTTGCCTTCCCAGGCACAGGCCATGGAAAGGAATGACACCATCGACTTCAAGGCTCTGGAGAAAGAGCTGCAGGCTGCACTTACTGCTGATGAGAAGTACAAACGGGAGAATGCTGCCAAGTTACGGGCAGTGGAACAGAGGGTGGCTTCCTATGAGGAGTTCAGGTTGGCTCACCGCCATTTTTCTCAGGCCCTCCGGTTATCGTGGACTGTAGTGGTTAACTCTGAAATCAAACCATTTTGTTTGATCAGTCCTACTTCAGTCCTGGCCCCGCCCTCTACTGTTTGATCTTATGCAATTTCCTTAACCTTTCTGAACCTCAATTATTTATCTGTAAAACAGTAAGCGTTATTATAATTAAATGAGTTCTTGCAAGTGTCTGACATATGTGAAGTGCCTGAGAGCAGTCAGCTATCACTGCTGTTGTTACTATTATTATCATTATGGTCATACTGGTCTGTCAACAAGTTCATCCTATACCATGCAAATTCTAGCTGCCTTACACCCACAGACACAGCATTAAGTCCATTACCTAATTTCTGTCCTTTGCCCCCAGGGGTATTGTCCTTGCATCACATCTGAAGCCACTGGAACGGAAGGATAAGATGGGAGGAAAGAGAACTGTGCCCTGGAACTGTCACACTGTTCAGGGAAGGACTTTCCAGGATGTGGCCACTGAAATCTCCCCGGTAGGTGAGGCCCTGCCTCTTTAGTCCAGCAGGATTCTCTGCCCTAAAGCTTCAATCCTGTTTGTTTGTGTTTTTGAGACGGAGTCTCGCCCTGTCTCCAGGCTGGAGTGCAGTGGTACGATTGCAGCTCACTGCAACCTCCGCCTCCCAGGTTCAAGCGATTCTCCTGCCTCAGCCTCCTGAGTAGCTGAGACTACAGGGGTGCACTACCACACCCAGCTAATTTTGGTATTTTTAGTAGAGGTGGGGTTTTACCATGTTGGCCAGAATGGTCTCCATCTCTTGACCTCGTGATTCACCTGCTTCGGCCTCCCAAAGTGCTGGGATTACAGGCATGAGCCACCACGTCCAGCCCCTGTTTTTTTGTTTGTTTGTTTGTTTTTTAACCACACATACGTCTTCTTTATTTATCATGTTAAACCAACAGAGACAGGTTTCTGCCTCCAATCCCTGAAAGAAAAACAAACAGCAGATGGTGAAGCTGAGTTGAACTGGGCAGAATGAGTCAGAAAGGTGGGCTAGGGAAGGGGACCTTCCCTTAGTTCTTTGACTTTCACTCTCAGATCACGTTTGGGTTGCTCTGCCTCTGAATTGCATGGTGTCGAGTGTAATGATCCTGTGCAGTGTTGAGAAAGCTATCCCGACATTCAGATCCTTCACATTCACTTGAGTTCATTTCTCTCTTCCTGAGATTTCCAGTCAACCCATCCATACGGCTTACAGTAAACCCTGACTTACTCTTGAAGACTAGAGCTATGGCTCCATTCATGAGTAGGAAATTCCAGTATAAATGAGAATCTCAAATCATGACATGGATTCCTTGTCCCCCCAACCCCATCTCATCCCCAGTTCCCTCAGCTGAAAATGAAGCCCCCAAGGACCAAAATCTTCCCAGTGCTCAGAGAGTAACCGAACTAAGATGGAAACCTAGAGGCTCCCCTCACTCGCACTGTTGCAGAGCAGCTGGAAGAGCTCCTGACTCCCTTTCCTTTCCTTATGATGCAGGAGAAAACCCCCCTCCAGCCCGAGACCTCTGCTGACTTCTACCGTGATTGGCGACGCCGCTTGAGGAGTGGGCCAGAGCGCTACCAGGCCCTGCTGCAGCTCGGGGGTCCAAAGCTGGGCCGCCTCTTCCAGACAGATGTGGGGTTTGGGCTTCTCGGGGAGCTGCTGGTGGCACTGGCTGATCATGTGCGGCCAGCTGACCGGGCAGCTGTACTGGGGATCCTACGCAGCCTGGCGACCACCGGGCGCTTCACCCTGAACCTGAGCCTGCTGAGCCATGTGGAGAGAGAGAGATGCAAGTGTTTGTTTCAGAAGCTGCAAACCATGGGCACCCCCAGACCCATGAAGGAGGGGCTCAGCTGGGAGGAGCAGGGTCTGGAGGAGCAGTCTGGTAGGCTCCAGGAGGAGGAGAGGCTCCTGCAGGAGCTGCTGGGGCTGTACCAGGTTGACTGATGTGACCAGGTACCCTCAGAGGTCCCGGTGGTCATGGGAGGCAGTTTTCTGGTTGTTGTCTTGGGGTTCTGCAGGACCATAATAAGAAACCCACGCTTAGTTCCTGTCTCAACTTGGAATTTTCAGAGCAAAAACAGGAATCAAGTTTCCCACTTCTCTAGCCCCTCAGTGTCTCGATATTTTGAACTGTGTGTATCCACGGGACAATCAAGAGTTCAGGAAGTTGAAAGCAGTTTTGTTTCCCATCCATGGAGTCTGCCAAGCCTCTAGCCTACTGGCCCTGAGAGATGAGTGTGTACCCAACCAGATGCTGGCTGTACCTGTTACAGCCTCCACTCAGAAAAAGAAAAAAGCAAAATCTTAATGGTAAACAAACACTGATCACCACAGCTCTTAACAAGAATGTTTATAGCCCCAAACCAATAAATGAACATTTAATCAACAAATGATCAAATGCTACCTCATTTGAGTTGTTGAATTTTCCCCTAGAGGCTCAGTTCTTGTGCAGGTTGAGCCTGGGAAGGCCCTAAGCCATCAGCCCAGGTCCAGCCAGCCTCTCAGATGGCCAGATACACAGGAGGGTGGGTTTCCTTCATCCTCCAGTTTGATGAAAGGGAAGACTTTTCCACCAGGCCCACAGGGCAGTGCCTGGAGCACAGAGGCAGAGATTTCCCTGCCCGTGCACTTAGGCCTGCCCTTCTCATTCCGGTTTCCTTTGACCCATTCTTGGGTGAGTGCCAGTGTTCTAGAAAGGGGAGTGAAGGCCAAGTTCTAGAATGCCGCCCCCCCCCCACCACTGAGATCGGGTCTGGAATGTTAGAAGGGCATATTATATATCCACTGGGCATAAATTGCCTTGTACTTGGCTGCTTCCTCTGCAGATTGTTGCTTCTTTTCCTGGCTGCATAATCCTTTCCTCATCCAGGGGCCTCGGCTCAGCAGTGCTTTCTAGGAGCCCCATGAGCCTTTAATACATTGGTTTTGCCCTGCACCTCTGACCCCTCCCTCCTTCAGGCATGCACCTGGCCCTCACCACTGTGCTCCTGTGGGCATGGGGGAGTCTCCAGGCCTTTGAAATTGTGGAGAAGGAAAACATTTTTCAGAAGACCCCCTGCCCCGCTTTCCTGATGTTTGAAAATGCAGCCTACCTGGCCGACATGAGCTTTGAGCTTCCCTGCCACTGCAAACCTGAGGAGGTGCTGGCTGTAGTCTGGTTCTATCAAAAGCACCTAGGTAGCAGCCACACCAAAGTGCTGACGGACTTCGATGGGCGGGTGCTGACGGAGGCGGCCCAGGTGCATGTGGGCAGTGACATGCTGACCCGCTTCAGCATCCGCATGTTCAGCCTGTTGGTTTTCAGGGCCCAGCCTGAGGACTCAGGCCTGTACTTCTGTGGCACCCGCAAGGGGGACTACTTTTACGCCTACGATGTGGACATCCAGAGCAGCGAGGGAATGGTGGCCACTTTCCAGGATGAGGGCCAGGAGCCCTTCGCAGACGAGTACTATGGGCACCTCCATGTCTTCACCACCTTCTGGGAGTGGACCCCCTGTGACCGCTGCGGGGTGCGTGGGGAGCAGTGGCGCATCGGCCTCTGCTACCTGCAGAGCCCAGACCTCTCCCCACGCTACCTCAAGGCGGTGCCCGACGTGGTGTCCTGTGGCTCAAGGGCTGTGCCGGGGAAGCTGCGGACCAAGGCCAGGGACCACATGCCTGAGCTGCTGGTTCGGAGCTGCATAGTCCCCTGTGAGAAGACGAAGACCATCCGGGGGGGCATCCTGGCCATTGTTAACTATGTGTCCAAGGTGGGCAGCCGGCCCTGGGTGCCCCAGGTGCCCATTCAGTTCCACCAGCAGAGACTGGGCCATGGGCTCATCATCTCCTGTCCCGGGGCCCGGCCAGAGCATGCGGTGGCCTGGGACAAAGACCGCCAGCACCTCTACCGCACACAGTACCTGAAGGGCGTCAACAGGTCCATGAGGGTGTTTATTGACCACGGCAACCAGCTCCACATCCGCTTCGCCCAGCTGGGTGACCGGGGCATCTACTATTGCTGGAGGCAGGGTGTGCGGGTTGCTGGCTTCCGGCTGGGCGTGACATCTCGTGGGCGCTACCCAGCCTCGTTCTCGGATCCTGAGACTCGCTCGGCCGTGGAGCTCACCCTGATAGGCTACTTGCTCATCACGGCAGTTTTTGTCACCGTTCACCTCTGTCATTGCTGCTGTTACTTATTTAGCTGTTGTCCCAACTTCTCCCCCTAGGATTTCTCTTTCCCCAGTTCTGAAGACCTGTTGTCCTTCAATGTGTTTGTTAAATGATACCAGATGTCTCTGGTGGGTACCCTGGGCTGGGACTTGTGGTAGGGACATGTGGACAAATCTGTTAGTTACAGCCTGCTCCCCATTTTCATGGGCAAGTCTGGGGCCTGAGCTGAGAAGTGGAGGGGCCCTAAGGCTGGTGGGAGAATGGGGACTGAGGTCAGGATGGAACTAGCCAGGGCGTGCGTGTTTTCTGACTTCACACTTAGGTCAGAGAAGAAGGAGTGAACTCATATTTGTCCAGTGGTAAACACTGATCAGCGCTGAATCGTCTTTGAGCTGTTTTACTTTCTTGCTTCTGAGGATTGTGCTGGTTGAGTTGCTGATAGCAGGGAGAGGAAGGAAGAAAAGAGTGGAGGGAGCTAGTGTAAGTCCTCTTTGGCTGGGTGTGGGGTGTGGTGAGGGTGTGGGCTCCAGAGACGATCACTAATAAGAAGTGAATTGGTCTTGTCAAAGGCTAAGTCTCGGCCCCAGTCCCGCCCGCTCATGAAAAGATCAGAGTCCACTCTGGGGAAAGGCGCAGCAGTCTTTATTTTTCCTCAGTGACTAAAGGCAGCAGCAGTGCCCTGAAGATTAGCAGCAGGTGGCAGGAAGGAGCGGAGGGAAAGGACACCAAGTCTTGGGGAGAGAGAAAGACCCTTCTTCGGCCTTAGAGGGGAGAGGAGAACCCTGAAGTGGGCCCTCTCAGTCCCATTTCTGGGCACAGATCCCACCAGTCTGCCCAGTTAAAGCAGAGTGGGTACGCTGGGGTGGGGACGTGTCAGCCCTGAGCACCCGGCCTCCAGGCTGCAGGAATATGAGCCAGTATCTTCACTTTGCTCACACCTCAGTTTTACAAATTGTACAATAGGGCGCTACCTAAAATACTGGATACATTTTGCATGTGAGTAAGAAGGGACCACAAGAGGCCCTTGGCTTAGGGAAAAGCAGCCGGTCACTTTGGGGTGGAGATGGTCAGGCGTGTGGCAGTGGCTTACTGGGGTAAAGAAGCAGCAGTCCCAGGGGCTCAGAGGCTCGGGCGGCCTGGGATGACACAGCAAGGAAGAGGCCTTTAGAACTGGGACAAAGTCATGCCCTGCCCCCATGGATACATCCCCTTTCTCTCCTGTTTCAGCATCTTCAAGAGGATGAGTCACTTTCTTAATTCCCACAACTCAGAGGCCAAGTGCAACTGGTCACCCACGACCCCCACCTGGATGTCTAGCGCCGACTTAATTGCCTCCTCCACCATCTCTACCAGCATCCCCTCCAGTCTGCACGGGGCAGTCCTCCTGGGCTTGACCTCTCTGTACCCACAGCTGGGGGCCAGGCAGCCCCCCTCTATCCCTCCCAGCACCCCATCCCTCTCCACATACACTACAGATCCCCCAAGTGCTGAGAATCAAGCTCCCACCTGCGCACAGTGTGCCCACAGACGGGGTCCCTGGATGGCAGCTCAGGGGGCCTGAGACATTTGAGTCACGGCTCAGGAGGTTCCTCTGGGATCTGGGCAGGTGCCTGCCCCAGGTGGCAGGACGTCCCCACCCATTTTAGACTGATCAGGGTCTGTCTAGAAGAATAACCCTCTGAGCTGGGCACGGTGGCTTGAGGCTATAATCCAGCTATACAGGAGGCTGAGGTGGGAAAATTGCTTGAGCCCAGGAGTTCAAGGCCAGCCTGGGCAGCATAGGGAGACCCCGCCTCAAAAACAACAAAAAACAAAACAAGCCTCTGGCCAGGGCTACCTTGTCTGTGGGGACCTCCCTTTCCTGTCTGAGTCTCAGTTTTCCTCCAGCAGTCTGAGGAAACTCAAAGGCACAGTTCCCAGATACCCAGAGAGAACCACCAATTCTGGCAACAGTTGCTATAACAACAGGGATCAGGGATGTGGAGGGCGATGTATTTGGTCCCCCGCCCTCCTCCCCTTCTCTCCTTCCTCCTCATTCTAACTCAAGCTGCTGGCCATGCCCCTCCAGACTGCCCCTTGGGGGTGAGTGCCTTGTTAGTTAGAGTTGCTGGGTGCTGGGTGGGTGCTGTCTGGCAGGCCTAATGCAGACGGAGCCTAGAGCAGCTAGCTGGCCAAGAGACAAGGAGGGAGGGGAGCAGCTGGGGCGGCGGGAGCTCAGGTCTGGGGAAAGGCGCCAGCAGAGGAGGAGCAACTATCCTGCTCCTCCTTGAGCCCCTCATGCGATGGAGCAGAGGCCACCAGCTGGGTCCCACCTCACATCACATCCTTGTGCTCCTGCTTGGACTCCTTAATGACCTGCAGGGGCAGGGAACATGCACAGTGTGACAATTAGAGGTGCACACAGACCCCAGGTCCACCACCGCAAGGTTGTGTAACCTCGGGCAAGTCCCCACGCTTCTCAGGTCTTTCTTTTCTTGACAGTAACCACAACTACCTCGCACAGTGGTCAGAGAGGGTAGAGAAGTGACGCTGGGAAAGTGTTTAGCATCGTGCCTGGTGCGGAGCAAGCTGCTGGAGTAAGCTGAGCTTCCGCCGTAGCTGGAGTGGTGTGGGGGATATACTAAATCCACTCTTCCCATCCCCTGGTAGTTTCCTTTTACTAAGCTGGAAATTGAAAGCCCTCCCCATCCCCGACTGTCTCTGTTAGAGTTGGGAGTGAAAGCTGCTAACTTTAACTCTCTTTCTGTCCCTGGCAAGCCAGGCCCCTGAGTGTGAGGGTGAGAAAGAGATAGCGTTTGAGTTAGGACCCCATCTAGTGGCTTTGGTACCAAGGCTTCTCAGAACAGCCTATGGAGGGGCTGGGGAAATGGAATTACATCCAGGTTCCTCGCTGTCCTCCAGAATTCACTGGGGAGCTCCTGGGAGTTACTGCGCCAGCCCCAGGCTCTCATCCACAGCCTGACCTTGAGAATCCTGGGGGTCAGGCAGCGCCTGATGGCCCAGATCCCTCCTTACCTCTCCATCCCGCATCTCTACAGTCTTCACCACGATGTTCCTCTTGAGGTGGCCTTCTGACACAGACTTGGTGTCCAGGCTGGTTTCTGCAGGTGTGAGGAGAAGAGACCTCCCATGGATTCTCGGGGCGAGAGTCATCCTCTCCCACCCCCGGCTTCCCCATTGTGCCCCCAGATCATAATATGAGAACCTATGCAATGAGGCAGAGAGAGCCTAGGCTCTTCCAGACGGGCTGGAGAGCCCCCAAATCCCAACAGTGCTGCTGCCCAAGTCCTGGCTGCTCTGTCCTGTTAGAGTCCTGGCTACTCTGTCTTCTGGTCTGGCTTCATTTCAGCCCCTTTGCAAGCCCTGGCCTGGCACCTGGCTTTCTGACATCCCAGCAGGGCATCGAGGAAGGACATGCAGGCTTTGAAATCAGGAGACCAGGTGGGCCACGGTGGCTCGCTCACACCTGTAATCCCAGCACGTTGGGAGGCCAAGGCAGGTGGATCACCTGAGGTCAGGAGTTCAAGACCAGCCTGACCAATATGGTGAAACTCTGTCTCTACTAAAAATACAAAAATTAGCTGGACGTGGTGACAGGCGCCTGTAGTCCCAGCTACTCAGGAGGCTGAGACAGGAGAATCACTTGAACCTGAGAGGTGGAGGTTGCAGTGAGCCGAGATTGCAACACTGCACTCCAACCTAGATGACAAAAGGATGCTCTGCCTCAAAAAAAAAAAAAAAAAGATGGCTGGGTGCAGTGGCTCACGCCTATAATCCCAGCACTTTGGGAGGCCAAGGCAGGTAGATTACCTGAGGTCGGGAGTTTGAGACCAGCCTGGCCATCTTGGTGAAATCCCATCTCTACTGAAAATACAAAAAATTAGCCAGGCATGGTGGCAGTGCCTGTAATCCCAGTTACTTGGGAGGCTGAGGCAGGAGAATTGCCTGAAACCGGGAGGCGGAGGTTGCAGTGAGCTGAGATCATGCCACTGCACTTCAGCCTGGGCAACAAGAGCGAGACTCCGTCGAAAGAAAGAAAGAAGGAAAGAGAGAAAGAAAGAGAGAAAAGAGGAAAGAAATCAAGAGACCAGAGCTAAAGAAGTCCCAACGTAGCCACACAACTCTGGGCAAGTTAATTGACCTCTCCCAGCCTCAGTTTCCTCATCTGTAAAATGAGGATGATGGGGCCTATTTCTCTAGGTGGGAGAGAGAAGACAATTAACTAAAATAAAGACTGTTAAACATGTGGCACATATTAGTGCTTAATACATGTAGGTCCCTTTCCCGTCCCCTTTCCCCTTTCCTACTTCTCTCTGCCACTTATCTGTACCCTAGTGACCTGCGACTATCTAGGACTTGGCAGTATTACCTCTACTAGTCAGCTTGGTTAAGCTTTCTGATGCTGAATTAAGCCCTGGGACATGCATATCTAGTGGTCCTAAATAGTCTAGCCCAGAAGAGGAGTTTTGTTCCTTAACTAGGAATCATTTGAGGGCCACATACAAGTAAAAAGTAATTTAGCTTCACCCCCTAGAGACAAATATAACATGTCACATTCACTAATATTTAACATTAAGAGCAGGGAACATAAAACTTTATTCACTGCAAGAGCAGCGGTCCTGAGGGCAGAATCCTCTGGACTGAGTCAGCACTGAGCTGAGCGATGGAGCCTCAGGGGTGAAAGAATAAAGCAGAGAGCCTGTCCTCCAGGCTCAGCGAGACCTAAGGGGCCCTCCCAGTGATGGGAAGAGGTGAGACAGAGGCTGCTCCTTGCTCAGAGGTCCCGGAGAAGCTCAGCTGCGCATCCAAGGACCCATCGCCTTTACTACTAACCAGCTCTGCCGCTTTAAAATCTAGTTATCCTGGGCTGGGCACTGCGGTTCCTGGGAAAATGACGCAGTCCCGGCTGTTTAGGGGAAGCCTGGGAGGAGGGAGCCCAGGAAGACTGGGAGAATGGGATGGGTGAGGCTCACTCCCTGTCAAGCTGGGCAAAGCGCTGTGTCTGAGAGGCAGGCAGCTAACCGCGAGCTGGCGGCGCTCCATTTACAATCTGGTGAGCCTGTATTGGTATAACTCGTATTGTGAGGCTTTTGAGATGTCTTGTGACCTTGTGATTTTCCCCGTCTTTGGTGCGTTTGCCCCCTGTAGTGACAAGCAGTTAAAAAAACAAAAACAAAAAACACTCAGAAGGGCAGTGCTTGCTCAGGGATCTGCACACAGGGCAGACGTTGAGATCTCACCCAGCTCGGCTGTGGAACGGGGTGCAGGGAGGGGAAGAGGGACCCAGGGCCCAGCAGGACAGGGGCGGCTGCCAGCCCCTCCTGGAGATGCCCTGGGATGGTAGGCTCTGGCAAGAGCACCGCAGTGAGTCATGAAGGGCCCC